CTGGAGGTGCTGGAGCTGGAGGTGCTGCTAGAGCTAGTGCTCCTGTGGGTGCTGGAGTTGCTGCTCCTGGAGCTGGTGGAGCTGGAGCCGACCCTTGGGGTGCTGGTGTTGTCCCTGCTGGTTCTGGAGGTGCTGCGCGGCCACGGCCGTACTTCGTTCCGCTCCTTGAGCAGGTTCTTAGTCTTCCGCCCTCTACTGGTCCTGCTCCTTCCTTAGAGTGTCCACTGCCTGTCCAGTCCGAGTCCCAGTTACAGACCTTCGCTCCCACGCCGAAGATGAGTACTCTTCGGGTGTTGCTGCATATTGCAGCCCAGCGCGACTACGAGTTGCACTCCTTGGACTTTTCCACCGCGTTCCTTCAGGGTAGCCTGCACGAGTAGATCTGGCTGCGTCGCCCGCCTGGCTTCACTGGCTCTTTCCCACCTGGGACCCAATGGCAGCTACGTCGACCAGTCTACGGCCTGCGTCAGGCTCCACGTGAGTGGCACGACACACTTCGCTCGACCCTTGCAGCTCTTGACTTCTTTCGTCGTCTGCTGACCCGTCACTGTTCGTTCGCCGTGGCTCGACCCCGTTCTTTGTCCTGGTCTACGTCGACGACCTGGTGTTCGCCACTCCCGACCGACGCGCGCTGGCCTCCGTGAAGGAGGAACTGCTGAGGAGACACACTTGCACTGACCTTGGTGAGCTGCAGCACTACCTTGGCCTGCAGATCACCAGGGACAGGGCAGCTCGCACCATTACGCTGACTCAGTCGCATATGGTCGAGTAGATCCTCAAGCGGTTTCGCTTCCCGTTCTCCAAGGTACAGCTCACCCCTCTTGGTGTGGATCATGGGCTCACGGCTCCACCTTCGGACGAGCCATTTGAGTCCAGCGGTCCATATCCTGAGCTGGTGGGTTGTCTCATGTACCTGATGACCTGCACTCGCCCAGACCTAGCTTACCCTCTTAGCGTCCTTTCGCGCTTTGTTGCGACTGGGAGACACCGACCTTCCCACTGGTACGCAGCTAAAAGGGTGGCAAAGTATGTGGCGAGTACATCAGGCATGGGACTTGTCCTTGGAGGGAAGCAGCCAGTTACAATTACAGGTTACTCGGACTCGTCGTGGGCCGACGACGCGGAGACGCGTCGGTCTACACAGGGGTACTCCTTTAGCCTCGGGGCAGGTGCTTTTTCGTCGCGGTCGACTCGGGCGTCGTCTGTCGCCGGTTCCAGCTGTAAGGCCGAGGTGTACGCCGCGGCCATGGCCGCTCAGGAGCTTCGCTGGCTGTCTTTCCTTCTCACCGACCTTGGTGAGCGGCCTCGCTCTCCCCCAGTCTTGTTCGCCGACAACAGGTCTGCTGTCCTGTTGTGTGAGGAGCCTCGACTGGTTGGGAAGGCGAAACACATCCAGCTTCGTTACTTCCTTCTGCGTGAGTTGCAGCAGCGTGGCCAGGCCCGCGTGGTCCGTGTGGTCTCTGAGGCCAACACTGCAGATATCTTCACCAAGGCGTTGCCGCCTTGTGACCACCAGCGTTTCTGCACCCAGCTTGGCCTTGTGCCTGCCCGTCCTCACTTGCTTACGTAGAGATGCATTGTCCTGCATGTCTTGTACTCTTGCATCTATATATATTTGCTATATACCGGCATGTGGACTGGCCTTGTGGCCCCTTGCTTGTTCTCGTAGTGTGTGGTGACTTTGAGCACCACCGTGAGATTTGTCTTGTTCTTGCGGACTGGTCCTGTGACCGTTGCTTGCTCTTGTTGTTTCTACAGGACTACCGTCACCTAGACTATGGGGGTGTGTCAAACAATATTTCTATAGCTTGTGTAGTTCTAGTCTAGGTGTTCTCCCTTGTGTTATTTTTGTACTTGCACTAGGGTTAGGTTTTCATATATCTTGTTTGTACTTTCTGTTTTTTAGTTAACTTTTACATTGTGACAGCTCCTTCTCCCTACACTGGTTTTACTGGAGGTCTTGCTGAGCGTCGTGAGCCTGCGTCTCGTCCTGCGTCGCCTGTTCGTGCTGCTCGCACTGGTCGTCGTGTTCCGCGTCAGCGTCCTCCTGCGGTCCAGGGCACGCACCAAATGGCACTGCGTCCTTCCACTGCTCCACTGCGTGTCCCTTTGCCGTCTCCTCCAGAGTCCTCTCTTCCTGCTCTTGCTGACCCGGAGTCTGACTCCCTTCGTACTGCTAGTCCTACTGTCACGCGTCTCCTGGCCACTATTGTCACTGACCCTTCCTTTGAGTCCACTGCTGCGTCTGCCTTAGTTGCTGAGCTTGTCGACTTCGCTGCTCACTGTCGTCTAGACTACGCTGCTTGTCTTGTTGCTGAGTCTGAGTCTGTCTGTCCTCCGTCCGTCGGGGGTGAGTGTGCTCTTAGCACGGACGTCTTTGAGGACAGGCGGGAGGAGTTCCAGTGTTTTGCTGCTGCTTTACCTCATCTCGTGTCCATGCTGATTGCCCCTGAGGGAGACCCGGATGCACCAGACATCCCGACTCCGCGCTCTTACGCAGAGGCGATAGAGGGTCCCTACTCCTCTGAGTGGCAGTCAGCCATGGACGCAGAGATGGCTTCCTGGAAGTCCACAGGCACCTACGTTGACGAGGTTCCCCCACCTGGGGCGAACATCGTCAGTGGCATGTGGATTTTCAGGGTGAAGCGGCCGCCGGGTTCTCCGCCTGTCTTCAAGGCACGTTACGTGGATCGAGGCTTCAATCAGCGGCAGGGAGTTGACTACTTTCAGACCTTCTCCCCCACCCCGAAGATGACCACTCTTCGGGTGCTGCTGCACATAGCCGCTCAGCGCGACTACGAGCTTCACTCTCTTGACTTCAGCATTCCTTTCCTACAGGGCAGCCTGCACGAGGAGATCTGGCTGCGCCGCCCTCCTGGCTTCACAGGGTTGTTTCCTCCTGGTACCCAGTGGAGCCTCCGGCGGCCAGTCTACGGTCTCCGCCAGGCTCCCCGCGAGTGGCACGACACACTGAGGACTACGCTAGCGGCTCTTGGGTTTGCTAGTTCTACTGCTGACCCGTCGCTGTTTCTACGCACCGACACTTCGCTGCCACCGTTCTACATCCTCGTGTACGTCGACGACTTGGTCTTTGCTACAGCTGACACGGCTGGACTCGCCCACGTGAAGTCCGAGCTGCAGAAGAGACACACGTGCACAGACCTGGGTGAACTGCGCAGCTACCTTGGCTTGCAGATCACCCGGGACAGAGCACAGCGCACCATTACCCTGACTCAGTCACACATGGTGCAGCATGTCCTTCAGCGCTTCGACTTCACGTACTCCTCGCCTCAGGCCACTCCTCTGTCTACTCGAATCCAGAAAAGGACGAGAAACGCCGGCCCACTCTACTGCCCCAGGGAACCACCCTCGGCCTTTCCAAACCTTCACTGCTGACCCTAACCGCGCCTTGCCAAAGCCCTGAGGCTCGGTCCAAACCTTGGATCTCCACACCTCCATCGCCTTCATCTCCCGAGCCTCCGCCTGCCGGGCCTCCGTCTGCTGAGCCTCGGTCTGCCGAACCTGGGAGTAACGTGCCGAACTCGAAGCTGTTGTTATGAGTCAAGTGGCTTGTGGCGCGAGGTGCCTCGTTGTTAGCAGCAGCGGTAGTTGCAGGAGCAACAGAAGCAGCAGCAGAATTAGCAGCAGTGTTCCCACCAGAAACCGCAGAAGTAGTCGCAGCAGCAGCAGCAGCAGCAGAAGCAGAATCAGCAGCAAAAACGTCTCTTGTAGCAGCTCCTGTAATGGTGCTGATGTCTGTAGCAGCACCTGTAACAGCTCCAGAAAGAGAATCAAAAGCGAAGCTGCACCTGATGCCTCTTCGTTCCCCCCTTCCCCTTCCGTTTCCTTCCTTGCCCCACCTTCCTCCTTCCTCCTCTCCTCCCTCCTCTCTTCCCTCCTCTCTTCCCTCCTCTCTTCCCTTCTCTCTTCTCTTCTCTCTCACCGCACTGAACCAGCTCGAATCCGGACTCGCCAATTCTTTTCCACTCCCTACCTCCCTTTCATCCTCACTAGAAAACTCCCCACTATCACCACAACCACCTCTCTCCAAAACACCAACATCAGAAACACTCTTAGGCATCTCGATACACCCCTTTTGTGTATCAAGACCCATCCCAACACCTGCACACCCCCCACTCCCATCCACCCTCAACTCTTGTCCACCCATCCTTGCCTTATGAGGCATCTCAGAACCCGTCCCACTCTCACTCACCCCTACCGCTTGCGCACCCGTCCTTGCAACGTGAGAGGTCTCAAAGCCCACTCCAACCCCATCCAGGCTCAACTTTCGTCTGCCCTTCCATGCCTTTTGGAACAGCGTCTCACGATTGCTGCTGCCCTTCTTGCTGCTGATATAATCGCTGCTGCTAGAATTGCTGGTGACGCTAGTGCTGCTGCTGCTGCTCTTGCTGCCCATACTACTGCCGCTGCTGTTAGAATTGCTGGTGCTGCTGCTGGTGTCGCCGGTGCTGCTGCTGCCCATGCTGCTGCCCATGCTGCTGCTGCTGCTGCTGCTGCTGCTGCTAGAATTGCTGCTGGTGGTGCTGCTGCTAGCATTGCTGGTGCCGCCAGTGTTGCGGTTGGTGCCGACAGTGCTGCTGCTAAAGGAGGTGGTGATGAGGGGAAGGTTCTTTGGCTGACTGCCGGTGGTGTGTCGTCTGTTTACTTTTGCAAAAGTGGCAGCAGAAGCGGCAGAGGCAGCAGCAGCAGCAGCAGCAGCAGCAGCAGAAGCAGCAGAAGCATCAGCAGAAGCATCAGCGGCAGCATCAGCAGCAGCAGCAGAAAGAGGTGGGGTGGGGCTGCCAGTGGGGAAAATGGAGAGAGCACGAGCAGGCAACGAGTGGCTGGGATTCGACGCAGAGTCTGCCGTTGCAGATGGACGGTCAGATGCCCGTTGACGATCGTTCTCCGAGAAATCCTGGCCGTTGATGTTAGCAACGGGCTGTGCGTTGCTCGGGGTGTAACGGCCGCTCTTGAGAGTGCGGTTACCACTGCTGCTGATGCTAGTGTGGTTACCAGCAGTACCAAAGCTAGCAGATGTGGAGGAGGAGGAGGAGGAGGAGGAGGAGGAGGAGGAGGAGGAGGAGGAGGAGGAGGAGGAGGAGGAGGAGGAGGAGGAGGAGGAGAAGGAGGAGGAGGGAGTGGGAAAGGAGGATGGGGAGAGGGTGACATTTAGACATGCATCAGTGACAGAGAGAGCACGCCTATGCGTTCCCCTTCCCCTTCCTCTTCCCCTTCCTCTTCCCCTGCCACTGTCAATACCACTGCCACTGCCACTGCCCCTTCCGCTGCCAGTGTCACTGTCACTGGCCCGCCTCCTTGCTTCTCCCACTCCTCCCACTCCACACGCTACACCTGCGCCCTCTTCTCTCTCTCCCTTCTTACTGCCGCTGCCACTGCCGTCGCCGCTGCTACTGCCACTGCCACTGCTACTGCCTTTGCCACTGCCACTGCCATTGTCACTGCCCCCCCTCTTTGCTTCTTCCACCCCCCCCACTCCACACGCTACACCTGCGCTCTCTCCTCTCTCTCCCTTGCTGCTCTCTCCCCTTCCTACCCTCCCACTCTCTTCCCCTCCACCCCTCCCGCTCTCTCCCCCTCCTCCCTCCTTACTTTCTCCCCCTCCTCCCATACGCGTTTCAGTATGTTCCTGTTCCAGATGGGATGTTCCACTAACAGTCATGATCCGGGCGCTTACACTGCCGCTATTGAGTGTGCTAATAACGGGACTGCTGCTGTCACCCTTCGCAGTGGGAGGGGATGGAGGGGAGAGAGCACCCGGTCGAAAGCAAGTGGAATGGGGAAGAGTGGAAAGGAGTGAGGAGTCGAGAGGGGAGGAGAGGGGGGAATCGAGAGGGGAGGCGAGAGGGGAGGAGAGAGGGGAGGAGGAGAGGCGAGATAAGGGGGAACTGTTAAGAGAGGAAGAGGAAGGGTAAGTGCTGAATGTCTTCTTGGAGAATGAAGGCTTGGGAATGTGAAGCGTTCGACGCCAATCCTTGCCCTTGCTTCTGCCACTGCTGCTAGAGGTGGTGGTGCTGCTACTGCTGCTACTGCTGCTGCTGCTGCTGCTTCTGCTGCTGCTGCTGCTAGTGGTGGTGCTGCTGCTAGTGTTGCTAGTGTTTGCATTGTTAGTGCTGCTGCTTCTATCATTGCTACTCCCGCTCTCACTCAGCTGGTTCATATTCCTCTCATCCTTCTCCCCTCTCACTCCCTCCGCTCTCACTCCCTCCTCCCTCACTTCCTCCTCGCTATATGAGCACTCCTCCTCATACTCACCACTGTCAACCTTATCACTATCACCAAAGGATTTATCGAATCGTTTTGTCCCCTTTTTAAACAGCTTCTGTAGCATCCCTTTCTTCGCTTTCTCCTCACCACTGGAGTTACTTTTTACAATCCGCATCACCTTTTCGTCTCCCTCTCTCCTTCCACTCCTCCCTCCTTGCTCCTCCTCCATCCTCTCCTCCTCCCCCTCCCTGTTCCCCTTTCTCTCCTCCTCCTTCTCTTCCGTTTCCTCCTTTCCCTCCTTTCCCTCCTTCCCACTGCCCCGCAATCTAAAAGGAAATCCACCCTTTTTTACGCCAGAGCTATCCGTAACAAGTGGCTTCCCATTCCTCATCTCTTCTCCTCCCACATCCTCCTCCCTCTCCTCTTCCTTTCGTCTAAGTGTTTTACTTACCAGCCCCAACCCCCGCCCCAAACCGCTCTTTTTGAACCTCGACTTGCTCGGTTGTGGCGACCCGTACCTTTCACTAGCATCTGATCCGCTATAAGCAGATTCACTACCGCTTTGTGGTGATCCTGGCATGTCAAAATCCATCTCTAGAAGCCATACAGGGGAAGATGAAGAGCGAGTGTGATAGACACGAGAAGGTAAGCTTCCCTTAGTCTTACCCCTCTCCCCCTCTCCTCCCCTTCTCCTCCCTCCTCCTCCTCCTCCTCCTCCTCCTCCTCCTCCTCCTCCTCCTCCTCCTCCTCCTCCTAAAGCTCCTCCTCCTTCTCCTCCTTCTCCTCCCCCTCCTCCTCCGCCTCCTCCTTCCTCCTCCCCCAAACCAGCAGCAGCCAAGGCAGCAGCAGCAGCGCCAGGGAGCAAAGTCCCAGCCGCCTTTCTAACCATCTCCTGCGCCCCGTGCGGTTCAGAAAGTGGGACGCAAACCACACTGCTGCCTGCCACGTGGCAATCCGCAGAGCCGCCACGTGTGCGCTCCACTGACCCACGCAGTTGGCTTAATAGCATCCCATCTTGCTGATTTTGATGAGGTGGCTGCTGAGGTGGCATGAAGGCAGCACTATGGGCGTCTTTCCAGGCTGCATGTGCACCGTTGATCATGGAGATCGTACGGCTGAGAGGTACGGGCTTCTCCCGAAAGGAAATGGAGCAAGGAAGGTCCACTGGGGGGAAGTGGGGGAAAGTGGGGAACCGGTGGGGGCGAAGGGGGAAATTGGGGGGGAGGGGTGGGGAAGGGGGGTAAAAGAACGGAAGGGGAAGGGTCTGGAGGGGAACAAAATGGGGAGGGGGGGAAAGGGGAGTAGGGAGTCCGAATGGCCAAAGGATGGGGGAAGGGAAAGCAGGGGGGCTGGGAATGAGATTCTATTAATCTTTGAAGAGAGCATCCGGGTTGGCAGGACAGAAAGGGTGTAAAATGAAGGACAAAAGAGCAAAGGAAGTTGCCTGATGATGTGGAGAAATATAAATTGAAAAATAAAAGGGGAAACAGCTTTACCCTATCATGTACCACTGTACATTGTACAGTGGTAACATGTTTCTAGAAAGGGTTTGCCAGTTTCGTCAACTCACGCAGCGACAAGCATCCTCGAAACTTGAGCCACTCGCGAATCTCCTCCAGACGCGTCGCCATACGATCGTCGCCATTGTAGCTATCGTCGCACTCCCTCCCCCCCACCTTGGAGCTAGGGACCCGCTCGTTTCTGTCACCTTCACTCGTTCGAAGACCACCTTCCGAATTTAAGTCGCTCGTTACAATCACAGTCCAGCGCGTGTGAAGGTTCGGACTAACCACCAGAAACGCCAGAAGAGCCTTCACCAAATACACCTGCCCCACTTCCGCCCGCGCTCCCCCAATATCCACCACCTCCAGGGGGCCGTGTGAGCCGCCGCCCGTAACGCTTCCGCCAAAAGCGCGCTTTTCCCCCGTTCCCGCACTTAGCGAGCGCGGCGTAAAGTAGCCGTTACCGCCGCCGCCTCCGCCGCCGCATCCGTCGCTGTCGCTATCAACACTGATGCTTCTGATGCTACTAGCGGTACTAGAAGCACCGTCGAGCTCGTCAATTTCGAAGCAGCGGCAGGTTTGCGGGAGGAAGCCGACGTTCCATGGAAGGTTGTGATTGTAATGAGAGGGAAGGTCGTTCACTCCGCGCACCCGCAGCGGATGGTGCGGAGGCTCCGCCACCGCCAGCTCCACCTGCGCCCACGAGCCGCGCGGAACGGCGCAAACCATGCGGAAGAATTCGCCGCCGCCGCCGCCGCCGTTAGCGCCGTCATCCGCGGGTGGTGCGAAAGCAGCGGAAGAGGCGGAGGAGCTATTAGAAACCGCGGGGCCGCCTGCAGCCGCTGCTGCGCGAAGCGCGGGGAAGAGAGTAACTCTTGCTGAATTCAAGATACTTTTGTCTAAGCTCGGCGTTCTACCATCTTGACTTCTGGCGAACCCTGGTTGCGCCGTCGTCAACGTGGCGGCATTGGCAGCATCGGCGGCGGCGGCGGCGGCGGCGGCGGTGGAGGAGAGGCGCAGCGGGACCTGGTGCCATGGGGAAAGGGGGACGACGACGAGGTCTTGCGCCGCTGCCGCTGCCGCCAGTGGCGGCGATGGTCGCGGCGAAAGCGGAGAAGCGAACCTCCCGAACTTCGACTTTGAGCTACCCTTGGGAGTCTGCGGCGCGGCGAATGGCGGTGCTGCCGAAGCGCTGTTACTAGTACCACTAATAGTAGTACTCGGCGGCGGGACGGCGAGTCGCGCCGCGTTCAGGAGGAATTTTCTGTATAAGAGCGACCCGGGAGGGCCAATCTCGACTGCAGCATACTCCATGGCTCAGTGGGCCCGCTTAGTGACTGCCAGTCGACCCAGTCAGTGATCCTGTTTTGAGACGCGTCTAAAAAACGATTAGAAGTTTCTGGTCGTCTATTTCTTAGTGAGGCCAATATACTGCGTACTTCGTGACGACTCTGTCAGAATGGGATGGACTTCGTTGCTCAATCACAAGTTCTAATCGTCCATTTCATGGCCCAATGTACAGAGCGCGTCAAGAATGTACTCCATGGCCCCATGCGACCCGGTCACCCGAGCAGGCTGATTTCGGTTATCTCGGAATTCGATTGCACAGCTAGCCGAAAAACGTGTCAGCCGTAGTCAACCGACGAAAACGGCTCGCTGCAATTGACCTGCTCTGGGCGTTTGACAGATGCGGCTCAGGTTAGCTCAAATTAGCATTGTTAGCATACCTAGGTGCTTGTACTGTATCACCAGCTAACACAAAGCCTGAGTGGAGCGGAAGGCTGTGCATATAAGCAATATTGCAAGAATGAATGCACCAGCTAATAAGAGCGACTGATTTTCGGTTGTTTGAATGCGGCTCAATGAGATGTTTCACGTTGTACAACTGTCTAATAAATGTTCAGAGTGGTCGGGATGGGTATTGAGCAAAACTGAATGAAAATGAGCCGCCCGTAATGCTCGTGCGTGAGTAGTGAAAGAGGATCCGGGATGGAGGGACGAAAGACGTGTACAGTACAGTGAAACGGAGTCGACGGATAAAGGGCGTGTGCGTGTGGGTGATGAGGGACCACAGTTGGATAAAGCCAAACGTCGCGATGAGGCATCTTGACCGCTCTAGAAGCAATTACATCTGACGGAACCGATCCAGTTATCATGAATACAGTTTGTACTCCTGATTTGGATTCCGACGCAATCAGTATGCAACAAAATCAAGCACCTTCGTGGGTAATATTGTCTCAAGCTCGATTTTAACCCCGATTCTTAAACGGCCATTTTCAGGTGCATGCAACTTAGTCTAGGAACTGTATTCAAGTGCATGCCATGTTATTCGGCAGGTGTGTACACTTTGCGCAGCTTAGAAACGTGTCATCTTAAAATTACGCGCTTGCCAAGATTCGTTTCAAAGTAGCACAAACAGTCGAGAATAGATGCGATTTCGGATTACGCAAAGCGAAATCGGAATGGTTGGCTCTCGATTTTGCATTTTCTGACGTCACCAGAAGCAATCATTGCATGTTTGCCCAAATTCAACGCGAATTTCTGCTTTGCCCCAACTCTTCTTGAACAAATTTAAATGCTAGATCAGCTGTACTATTGACACAGGTGACGAGCGCTGCGCATGGCAAATCAACATTTTTTCTTGGGCGTGCAGAAATTTGGTTCGGCTGCTGTCATTGGGCCCGGTGGTTTTTAAGAATCGGGTGGTTTTGTTCTTTTATTTCGTGATGTCAGGGAAGAATCCGTTGCTCTTCGCTTGCTCCCGATTTTCACCAACGGCAACTCGTGAAATCGAAATCTGGTGCGATTTCTAGTCGGGCAGGCACATCGCAGCTGCAAGTTGTTTCAAAGGACCTCTGTGCCAGCAACAGACAAGCTTGGCAAGCAAGGAAGCATCAGACTGGAAAAGCAAGAAATCGAAAGTTTTGATAGGCTCTGTGTACACTTACTCTTACCCTTTTCTACAAGACGGGGAACGCAAGTGAGTTCACGTGCTGCCCATAACACAACACAGCACAAAATGGGATAAAAGTAACAACTCATATCCTATATAGAGCAACTCAACCTAGCCGACGAAGTACATATATAAATATACCTATACATACAATACAATCTAAAGTAAGCTAGAGACATTGTAACGAGATGACTTTCGAATCGACTCAAAGGTCGTATCCTAGTGTAACGCCCTCCAAGTGCTCCAGGACGACTCTGAGCAGTCAAGTCATTCTAAAACCTGCTGCTGCTACCTCAGAAGCCTCCTGTTGCTGCCTTCCCTCCTTTGGGAGTGGCACCCCAGCCGGCATACTCAGGATCATCCTCAGGGTCCTCATGCACCCACGACGCCTGCACGCTCTCCAGGTTCGGCCGGGCCATTCTCGCCCCCCTTCTCACTCCGCCTATTCTCCGCTGTACCTGCTCCCCCAGCTGTTGCTGCTGCTGCTGCTGCTGATCTCCCATGCCGCCAAGCCTCACAGGTCTATGCTTGCGAGGGCTGCTATCATCATCAGACGCAACAGGGGTGTGAGCAGCCGAACCAGCAGGCGTGTGAGCGGCCGAACCAGCTGGGGTAGCTCCGGGAGAGAGCCACGTGCCGAGCCCAGAGGAATTCAGCAGGTGAGACACTGCTGAGAAGGTTCCAGGAAGGTAGGCTGGGGCTGCCTCTGCTGATGAAGCAGTAACTGCTGCTGCTGCTTCTGCTGTTGCTGTTGCTGTGGCCGTTGCAGCAGCAGCAGCAGCACCGGTTGCACTGGCATCAGCAGCAGAGGCAGCAGAACTACCAGCAGCATTACCAGCCGCATCAGCAGCAGCATTACCAGTAGCATCAGCATCAGCATCAGCATTAGCAGCAGAAGCAGACGCAGCAGCAGCCGCAGCATGAGCTTGAGCCGCGCGTTTCCAGCGCATGGCCGCGTTGTGCCTCGCCATTGCCTTTGCTGCTGCCTCTCGGGGGGACTTGGGAACTCCTGTGTCCTCTCCTGCTGCAGAGGCACAAGCAGGATCTTGAGCTTGAGCCACTGCCCATGCTGCAGCCTCTCTCTGTCCGCCTATCCTCATAGGCACCCCTCGAGGAGACTTGGGGACCCCTGTGTCCCCTCCTGCTGCCCCCCCTTCCCTTGATCCTTCCCCTGCTGCCCCCCCTGCTGCTCCCTTTACTGCTCCCCCTGCTGCTCCCTCTGCTGCTACTCTGCTAAAGGTCCCCCCTCCTCCCGCTACCTTCATGGCTTTGATGCTTGGACTTGCGGTGCTGTAGCTTTTACTGAGGAGAATTGACACCCCTCGAGGAGACTTGGGGACTCCTGTGTCCCCTCCTGCTGCCCCCCCTTCCCTTGCTCCTTCCCCTGCTGCCCCCCCTGCTGCTCCCTTTACTGCTCCCCCTGCTGCTCCCTCTGCTGCTACTCTGCTAAAGGTTCCCCCTCCTCCCACTACCTTCATGGCTTTGATGCTTGGACTTGCGGTGCTGTAGCTTTTACTGAGGAGAATTGACACCCCTCGAGGAGACTTGGGGACCGATGTGTCCCCTCCTGCTGCGCCCCCTCCCCTTGCTACTCCCCCTGCTGCTCCCCCTGCTGCTCCCCCTGCTGCTCCCTTTACCGCTGCCCCTGCTGCTCCCTCTGCTGCTGCTATGCTAAAGGTTCCCCCTCCTCCCACTACCGTCATGGCTGTGATGCTTGGACTCGCGGAGTTGAAGCTTTGATACGTCTCATTACTGGCTTTGATGCTGGGACTTGTGGCGCTGTAGCTTTTACTGAGGAGGCCTTGAGTGGGGGGGCCTTGAGTGGGGGGGCCTTGAGTGGGGGGAGTCCAAGTTACAATGTCCCTCCTCCCCCCCCCTCTAGGCGACTTGGGGGCCCCTGTTTCCCCCCCTCCTCCCCCTCCTCCCCCCCCTCCTCCTTCCCCTCCTCCTTCCCCTCCTGCTGAAATTGCAATTTTTGTTTTTCCGTAGTTGAAGCTTTTGCTGCGAAGGCCGTGAGTGGGGGAGGTTAAGGGTACGACGTCCCTCCTCTCCCCCCTTCGTGGGGACTTGGGGGGCCCTGTTTCCCCCCCTCCTCCTTCCCCTCCTCCTCCCCTTCCCCCCCCTCCTCCTTCCCCTCCTCCTCCCCTTCCCCCCCCTCCTCCTTCCCCTCCTCCTCCCCTTCCCCCCCCTCCTCCTTCCCCTCCTCCTTCCCCTCCTGCTGAAATTACAATTTTTGTTTTTCCGTAGTTGAAGCTTTTGATGCGAAGGCCGTGAGTGGGGGAGGTTAAGGGTACGATGTCCCTCCTCTCCCCCCTTCGTGGGGACTTGGGGGGCCCTGTTTCCCCCCCTTCTCCTTCCCCTCCTCCTCCCCTTCCCCCCCCTCCTCCTTCCCCTCCTCCTCCCCTTCCCCCCCCTCCTCCTTCCCCTCCTGCTGAAATTGCAATGCCTGTTTTTCCGTAGTTGAAGCTTTTGCTGCGAAGGCCGTGAGCGAGGGCGGTCCAAGCCTCGTTGTCCCTCCTGCCCACCCCTCGAGGTGACTTGGGCACCCCTGTGTCTCCTCCTGCTGGCCCCCCTCCTCCTCTAGGGCTGGGGGCTGAGATGCTTGGATTCGAGGAGGTGAAGCTTGTGTTGAGAATGCCTAGACTGGGGTCGGTCCAAGCCACGTTGTCCCTCCTGCCCACGCCTCTTGGTGACTTGGGAACCTCTGTGTCTCCTCCTGCTGCCCCCCCTCCTCTTGCCGCTTCCCCTGCTGCCCCTCCTCCTCTTGCTGCCTCCCCTGCCCCCCCCCCTCCTCCTCTAGGGCTAGGGGCTGAGATGCTTGGAGATTTGAAGATTGTGATCAGAACGTCTTGACTGGGGTCGGTCCAAGGCTTGATGTCTCTCCTGCCCACGCCTCTTGGGGACTTGGGTACCCCTGTGTCTCCTCCTGCTGCCCCACCTCCTGCCATTTCCCCTCCTGCTGTTCCCCCTCCTGCCATTTCCCCTCCTGCTCTTTCCCCTTTGACACCAGTAGGAGATTTGATACCGGTGGGAGATTTCTTACTGGTGGTTGACTTTTTAGTGCTGGAGGATTTTGTACCGGTGGGGGATTTGATACTTGTGGTTGATTTCTTACCAGTAGGAGATTTGATACCGGTGGGGGATTGGATACCGGTGGGGGATTCGACACCAGTGGTTGATTTCTTACCGGTGGGGGATTTGATACTTGTGGGGGATTTGATACCGGTGGGGGATTTCTTAGTGGTGGGGGATTTTGTACCGGTGGGTGATTTTTTACCTGGGAATTTGATACTGGTCGTTGATTTCTTACCAGTGGGGGTTTTCTTACCGGTGGGGGATTTTTTTCCTGTGCGGGTTTCCTTGCCGGTGGGGGATTGGATACCGGTGGGGGATTGGATACCGGTGGGGGAATGGGTACCGGTGGGGGATTGGATACCGGTGGGGGAATGGATACCGGTGGGGGATTGGATACCAGTGGGGGAATGGGTACCGGTGGGGGATTGGATACCGGTGGGGGATTGGGTACCGGAGGGGGAATGGGTACCGGTGGGGGATTGGATACCGGAGGGGGATTGGGTACCGGTGGGGGATTGGGTACCGGTGGGGGATTGGATACCGGTGGGGAATTGGGTACCGGTGGGTGATTGGACACTGAGGGAACAAGATCGGCCACTGAGGCTGGTAGAAATGGCAATGCTTCCCGACGCAAAGCTGGTACTCCTACCCATACCCTTGCCCGCACTCTTGCCCGCACTCTTGCCTGCACTCTTGCTCACACTCTTACTCACACTCTTACTCACACTCTTACTCACACTCTTACTCACACTCTCGCTCACACTCTTACTCACACTCTCGCTCATATCCTTACCCCAAACCATATCCACATTCCAAACAGCGCCCATATCCATGCTCACACCTCTTCTCCTCCCACCCACGCCCGTGCCTCTGCTGCTGCTGCCTCCGTCCGTTGCTGCCACTGGACTCACCTCTTCTGTCGGTGCCTTCTCTCCATTACCCTCTCCTCCTTTCCTTCCCCTCCCTTCTTGCCCTCTCCCTTTCCCATCCGTCTCCCCTCCTCTCCCTCCCCTCCTCCCTCCTCCATCCGCCTCTCTCTCTCCTCCTCTTCCTTTCACCCTAACCGCGAGCGACACTACTCTAGGTGACAAAGCCCCTCTAGGTGACAAAGCCCCTCTAGGTGACAAAGCCCCTCTAGGTGACAAACCCCCTCCCTCCTCTCCTCCTCCACTTTCCTGCCCTCTCTCCCCCCCATTCCTCCTCTCCCACACACTCAACCCCTCCTCTCTACGCCCCGTGCTCTCTATCCCCCCTCCTCTCCCTACCTCCCTCCCGTCCCCTACATCCCACTCACACAAGCTCTCCACTCTACTTACTATCCCCATTCCTCTTTCTCCTCTCCCTCCTCTCCCTCCCTCCCTCCCGTCCTCTATATCCCACACACTCAAGCCTTCCCCTCCACGCCCCCTGCTCGCTATATCCCCTCCTCTCCCTCCCTCCCTCCCGTCCCCCATATCCCACTGACCCAAGTCCTTAGACTTGCGATTTGTTCCCGTCCCCATATCCCACTGACCCAAGTCAAACTCAAAGCCAGAAAACGACAGGCATTGCCTGTGTCCAGGTCCAAACCTACCTGTGCCCCTCCCACCTGAATTTTCACCTGCTGAATTTTCATCACCTGAAACCCTACCACCACCACCAACAGCAGCAGCAGCAGCAGCAGCAGCAGCAGCAGCAGCAGCAGCAGCAGCAGCAGCAGCAGCAGCAGCAGCAGCAGCAGCAGCAGCAGCAGCAGCAGCAGCAGCAGTATGAGCAGTATGAGCAGTATGATTGGCTACTAAAACCCCAGTGTTTCCCCTTGGGATGGCAAGCCGTGCTTGTTGGACCCACGCTCCCACATCTCGTCCCGCGCCCTTTTGCTGTACTGCCCCCTCCTGCCCACCCTTTGTGTGATGAGTCGAGTTTTGAGTCGACTCAAAAATAGACGCCTCTTGGACCCACGCTCCCACGTCTCGTCCCGCGCTCTCTTGCCGTACTGCCCCCTCCTGTCCATCCTTTGCCCCCCCACCCGTCCTCCTCCTCTCTTCCTGTCCAGGTGCATTGAACCTGGGCTCTTTCGGTTGCGCCTCAGGCATCCTCTGTCCAGATACACCGAACCTGGACTCTTGTGGCTGTGCCTCAAGAAGCGTCTGTCCAGGTGCAATCAAGCCAAAGTCAAAGTTGGAAAACGACTGGCACTTCCTGTGCCTGAGGCTACCAGCGCCCCCCCCGCCTGCTGAACTCCCACCACCTGAAGCCCGAGCAGCAGCAGCAGCGGCAGCAGCAGCAGCAGCAGCAGCAGCAGCGGCGGCGGCGGCGGCGGCGGCGGCAGGAGCAGCAGCAGCAGCCACAGAACCCCCAGTGTTTGCCTTTGGAATGGAAAGCCGTGCTTGCCTCGCCCACGCTCCCTCTTCTCGTCCCACCCCTTTCTGCTGTACTGCCCCCTTTTGCTGTACTTTCCTGTTTCGTCCCGAATTCTCCCCACCACCAGTCTTCCCTCCCGCTTCCTGCCCAGATACATTGAACCTGGACTCTTTCGGCCGATCCTCAAGAACCGTCTGTCCAGGTGCAATCAAACCAAAGTCAAAGCCGGAAAACGATTTGCACTGCCTGTGCCTGGGCCTACCACTGGCCCCCCCACCTGAAGATTCACCTGCTGAAACCCCACCATGTGAAAAACCACCTGAAACAGCAGCAGAATCCCCTGACACCCCAGTTTTTCCCTTTCGGATGGCAAACGGTACACCCTTCTCCGGCCCCTCTGAGAAGAGGGAGATAGGGTAGCCGGAGGGGAACAGCGCCACAGGACTAGTGATAACAGTAGATTCCTCCTCCTCCTCTTCCTCATCCTCCTCCTCCTCTTCCTCATCCTCCTCCTCCTCTTCCTCATCCTCATCCTCCTCTTCCTCATCCTCCTCCTCCTCTTCCTCCTCCTCTTCCTCCTCCTCTTTGTTCTTCCTCGGAGTAAGCACAGGAGAGCGGGAAAGGGCCACAGTGGTTGCTACAGGCGTGGCAATTGGAGTCAACTCATACCCACCATCATCATCTTCCTCCTCCTCCTCCTCATCCTCATCCTCCTCCTCATCCTCATCCCCATCCCCATCCCCATCATCCTCCTCATCCTCATCATCCTCCTCATCCTCATCCTCCTCCTCATCCTCATCCCCATCCCCATCCCCATCATCCTCCTCATCCTCATCATCCTCCTCCTCTTTGCCCTCCCCTTTGCCCTTTTCTTCCACTCCTTTTCTACCCCGCAGCTTCTGAACTTCCCCCTCTCGTCCCTCCTCTCTTCCTTTCTCTCTTCCTTTCTCTCTTCCTTTCTCTCTTCCTTTCTCTCTCCACGCACTGAACCAGTTCGAATCTGGACTCACCAACTCCATTTCACTCCCTTCCTCCTCACCCCTTTCATCCTCGCTAGAAGACTCCTCATTGTCACCACAACTACCTCCCGTCACTCCCTTCACAACACCAACATCATAATAACTTGTGGGTATCTCCAGTCCCAAGCTCATCCCAACTCCTACGCCCCTCCCAGTCCCCCTCACCCCTACCGCTTGCCCAGACATGCTTGTCGTACGAGACATCTTAAGAGTCATCGCACTCCCATCCAACCCCTTTTGAGGCGCCTCACAAGTAGTCCCACTCACCCCTACTGCTTGCCCACCCATGCTTGTCGTACGAGACATCTTAAGAGTCATCGCACTCCCATCCAACCCCTTTTGAGGCGCCTCACAAGTAGTCCCACTCACCCCTACTGCTTGCCCACCCATGCTTGTCGTACGAGACATCTTAAGAGTCATCGCACTCCCATCCAACCCCTTTTGAGGCGCCTCACAAGTATTCCCACTCACCCCTACTGCTTGCCCACCCATGCTTGTCGTACGAGACATCTTAACACCCATCGCACTCCCATCCAACCCCACCTCAGAACCCACCCCGCTCCCATCCATACTCAGCTTTCGTCTGCCCGTCCTTGCCTTTTGAAACAGAGTTTCGCGATTGTTGCTGCTGCCCTTCTTGCTGCTTATACAACTGCTGCTGCTTCCGCTGCTGCTGCTAAAATTGCTGGTGACGATATTGCTGCTGCTGGGATTTCCGGTGCTGCTAGAATTGCTGATGGCGCTGGCGCAGCTGCTGGTGCCGCCAGTGCTGCTGCGGGTGCCGCCAGTGCTGCTGCGTACGGGGGTGGTGATGAAGGGAGGGTTTTTTGGCTGACTGCCGGTGGTGTGTCGTCTGTTTGGTTCTGGTATTATAGCAGCATCATCATCAGCAGCAGCAGCAATTGCAGCAGCAGCAGTAGCAGTAGCAGCAGTAGCAGTAGCAGCAGTAGCAGTAGCAGTAGCAGTAGCAGCAGCAGCAGGAGGAGGAGGAAGAGGAGGAAGAGGGGCAGGAGGGGCGGAAGAGCCAATGGAAAAAATGGAAGGAGCACGAGCAGGCAACGAGCGGCTGGGATGCAACGCTGGGTTTGCAGCTTCAGATGGACGGTCAGATGCCTGTTGCCAGTCGCTCTGCGAGCAATCCTGGTCGCTCTCCCCCCCTCCTTCCTTCCCACTCTCTCCCCTTCCTCCCTCCCCACTCTCTCCCCTTCCTCCCTCCCCACTCTCTCCCCTTCCTCCTGTACGCGTTTCAGTACGCTCCTGTTCCAGATAGGACGTCCCATCAACAGTCATAATCTCATCAGCCATGCCGATGCTTTCAGTGTCACTATCGAGTGTGTTAATAACGGATCTGCTGCTGCTATTGGCCTCGGCCGTGGGAGGGGATGGAGGGAAGGGATGCTGTTGTCGAAAGCGAGGAGAACGGCGGAGAGTGTAGGGGTGAGGGGAGGCGCGAGGGGAGGCGAGAGGGGAGGAGAAAGGGGAGGAGAAAAGGGAGGAGAAAGGGGAGGAGAAGGGGGAGATGGGAGGGAAGCAGGAGACGGTAAGTGAGGAAGAGGTAGGGAAAGTGGTAGCTTTCTTAGGAAATGAGGGTTTGCGAATGAGAGGCGATCGCCGCAATTCCTTGCCCTTGCTGCTGCTGCCGCTGCTGCTGCTGCTGCTGCTGCACTTCCCTATCTGGTTCCTATTCCCCTCATCGGTCTCCTCTCTCACTCTCTCCTCGGCCACTCCCTCCTCTCTCACTCCCTCCTCTCTCACTCCCTCCTCTCTCACTCCCTCCTCCGTGAATTCCTCCTCTCTATATGAGCAATCGTCCTCATACTCACCACTGTCAACCTTATCACCACCACCATCACCATCAGCATCACCACCATCACCATCACCATCACCATCACCATCACCATCACCATCACCAAAGGTTTTGCCAGTCCGCTTTGTCCCCTTTTTTAGCAGCTTCTTTAACATCCCTTTCTTTACCATCCCCTCAACATTGGATTTACTCTTGACAATTCTCTTCACCTTTTTGTCTCCCTCTCTCCTTCCACTCCTCCCACCTTGCCCCTCCTCCCCCATCTCCTCCCCAACTTCATCCTTCCTCCTCTCCCTCCTCGTGCTTCCTGCCTTCCCCTCCTTCTCCCTTTCCCCCTTCCCCTCCTTCTCCCTTTCCCCCTTCCCCTCCTTCTTCCTTTCCCCCTTCCCCTCCTTCCTTTCCCCCTTCCTCTCCTTCTTCCTTTCCCCCTTCTCCTCCTCCTTCTCCGCGCTGCCGCTGCTACGAATTTTGAAAGGAAACTTGCCCTTTTTCACCCCAGAACCAATCGAAACAAGAACCTTCCCCTTCCTCATCTCTCCTCCTCCCACATCCTCCTCTCCCTCCTCTTCCTTTCCTCTAAGGGTTTTACTTACCAGCCCCAACCCCCGTCCTAAACCGCTCTTTTTAATCTTGGACTTACTCGGTTGTGGCGATCCGTACCTTCCGGAAGGATCTGATCCGTTATAAGCAGATTCAGTACCGTTTTGTGGTGACACTGACCCATCGAAAGCCATCTCTAGCCATACAGGGGAGGATGAGGATCGAGTGTGATCAACACGAGATGGTTTGCTTCCCTTAGCTTTTCCCTTCTTCCCTTCTCCTCCCTTCTTCCCTTCTCCTCCCTTCTTCCCTCCTCCCCTTTTCCCTCCTCCTCCTCCTCCTCCTCCTCCTCCTCCTCCTCCTCCTCCTCCTCCTCCTCCTCCTCCTCCTCCTCCTCCTCCTCCTCCTCCTTCCCCCTCCTCACTCACACCAGCAGCAGCCAATGCAGCAGCAGCAGCGCCAGGGAGTAAAGTCCCAGATGCCTTTCTAACTATCTCCTGTGCCCCGTGTGGCTCGGAAAGTGGGACGCAGACCACACTGCTGCCTGCCACGTGGCACTCCACAGTGCCGCCACGTGTGCAGTCCACCGATTCCCGCAGCTGGCTTAGAAGCATTGCATCTTGCTGGTTGGGGTCCGCTAACTGCTGCTGCTGCTGCTGCTGAGGTGGCATGAAGGCAGACCCATGGGCGTCTTTCCAGGCGGCATGTGCACCGTTGATAACGGAAATCGTACGGCTGAGAGGCACGGGCTTCTCCCGTAAGGAAATGGAGCAAGGAAGGTCCACTGGTTACAACAGGAGGGGAAGGGGGAAGGGAATGAAAATGAGAATTGGGGAAGGAGGGGGAGAGTCGGAACGGCCGGGTGATGGGGGAAGGCAAAGGAGGGGGTTGGAATTGGGATTTGATTTGATTGGGTTTCTGAGCGAGCATTGGTGTTGACAGGATGAAAAGGCACAATGATGAAGGAAAAAGAGCAAAGGAGGTCGACTGGTGCTTCTGGAGAAATGATGAAGGAAATGTACACTAGACTTATAGCATTCTTATTCGATTGACCACTGTAGTTATTAATCACTGGTCAACTCACGCGGCGACAAGCATCCTCGAAACTTGAGCCACTCGCGAATCTCCTCCAGACACGTCGCCATGCGATCCTCGCCATCATCGCCACCATCGCTATCGTCGCATTTTCTCCCCCCCTTGGGGTTTGCGTCCTGCTCGTTTCTACTACCGTCACTTGTTCCACAACCACCTTCCGAGTCAACGTCGCTCGTTACAACCACAGTCCACTGCGAATGAAGGTTCGGACTAATAACCAGAAACGCCAAAAGAGCCTTAACCAGATACACCTGCCCCACTTCCGCCCGCGCTCCCCCGATATCCACCACCTCCAGGGGACCGTGTGCGCCTCCGCCCGTAACGCTTCCGCCAAACGAGCGCCGCTTTTCCGCCGTTCCCGCCGCACTTAGCGATCGCGGCGTAAAGAAGCCGCCGTCACCATCGCTATCACCACTGATAGTACTAGCGTTACTTGTAGTACCGTCGAGTTGGTCTATATCGAAGCAGCAGCAAGTCTGCGGGAGGAAGCCGACGTTCCACTGAAGGTTGTGATTGTAATGAGAGGGGAGATCGTTCACTCCGCGCACCCGCAGCGGATGGTGCGGAGACTCCCCCACCGCCAGCTCTACCTGCGCCCACGTGCCGCGCGGAACGGCGCAAACCATGCGGAAGAATTCGCCGCCGCCGCCGCCAGCGCCGTCACCCGGGGGTGGTTCCGCGGGGCCCGCGGAGGAAGCAGCGGAGGAGGCGGCGGAGGAGCTACCATTAGTAACCGCCGGTTCGGCGCCTGCAGCCGCTGCCGCGCGAATCGCGGGGAAGAGTGTAACTTTGGCCGAATTCAGAATGCTCTTGTCGAAGCCCTCTAATCTACCACCGGACGCTTTTCCGTATTGACTTCCATCATGCCCTGTTCCCGTCGTCGCTGGCGCGGCGGCATGGGAGGCGGCGGCGGCGGCGGCGGAAAGGCGCAGAGGGACCTGGTGCCATGGGGAAAGGGGGACGACGACGAGGTCTTGCGCTGCTGCAGCTGCCGGCGCCGGCGGCGGCGAAGGCCGCGGCGAAAGCGGAGACGCGAACCTTCCGCGCTTCGTCTTCGCCTTGGGAGTCTGCGGCGCGGCGAATGGCGGTGCAACCGAAGCGCTGTCACTAGGGTCTGGCGGCGCGACGGCGAGTCGCGCCGCGTCCAGGAGGAATTTTCTGTATAAGAGCGACCCGGCTGGACCGATCTCAACCGCAGCGTACTCCATGCGGTGGACTGCAAGTCGAACCAACGCGTCAATGCGACCGCTTAGCTGCAGCTTCTTGGTCGTCTTTTGTGGCCCCTCAAACAGCAGCCGCTCTTCTTGGTCGTCTGTTTTTGCTTCTGCTTCAACTAAAGGTCTGATCATCTATTCCTGAACGGCATCAAGAGTGTACCCCTATGCCCAAGCGACCTGGCGTTAGCCGTTTTTGGTTGTCTCGGAATCAGGTTTCAAATCTATTTCAAAACGTGTCAGCCATGTCAAATTCAGGTGGACCGAAGTCAACCGTTGCGTAATTCTCGACGAAAACAGCTCGCTGCCATGAGCGGCTCTGGGCGTTTAACGAATGCGGGTCAGGGGAAATTCAAGCACAACTGGGTGCTTCAGTTATACTCAGAAATCAAAGCAAACGCTGCTAAAACAGAGCAAGAGAGTGCAAGCGAGAGGCTGATCACGTAAACACGATCGCAAGAAAATGAAGCACCAACTAATAAGCTCAGGTGATGTGCGAATGTGGGGCGCGGCTGCAAGCTCTCCTGATTCAGCTGCTGGAGCAAGGGTGCCGCAGCTGGCGCAGCCTTGTGACGAAAGTGATGAGCTCTCACAGCTGGCTCTAGTGGTTGAGGATCTAGTAAACAAATTTGCAAGAATTATCTTGTTTCTCGTGAGTGATGAAAGGGCCACGACTCACGAGAAACAAGATGATTCTGTCGAGAGTGGACGTCAAGCCAGCCAGACGTCATGCCAGAGAGAGAGAGAGAGCAAGAGAGCGTGTGTTGACAAGGAAAGGAGGGACTCCAGTTGGATAAAGCCAAGCGTACGCAATTGCACCAGACTGCACAGTGTGAACCATCTCTTGACCGCTCTAGATTACAGCACATCTCACGGAACCGAACCAAAAAATACGTTTGGAGCATGTGTGCAGGGATTGTGTTTTAGGACTAACAGCTGGACACTGATGAATTCACGTCCCCATATTCGTTTCAGAGACGCCCCACGCCAGAAGATAGGGACGCCCCATGCGAGTCTGATGAATTCACGTCCCCATATTCGTTTCAGAGACGCCCCATTCGTTTCAGAGACGCCCCATATTCGTTTCTGGCTCGATCAGCTGGACACCCAGAAGATAGGAACTATGAATACAGCCTCATGCTCGATCTAGAAAAACTTACACATGCGAGTCTGATATCATAACCGCTGGTATGGGCCTATTTGTTCGCTACGAATCTCTTCGCGCCACCCAACTCGTCCACGGAGTCCGGAACACAACCTTCGGGAATAGATTATGCGAGGGTAATTACCCATTTATACATAGTGTGAGAATACGGGGAATTGATATTATTGGTGGCCAGGTAAACAGCGGTACAGTGTACGTGCCAAAACTTGCAGTTCATTTCATTGCATCGCTTTCCATAGCTGGAAATCGTTCTCCTTTACTCATCTCCAGAAGCCGCTTCACAGTCCATGCAAGCGTCCATCAAGCGGGCTAGGTTCCAGCCTCTGCGTCGGCCATGACCCCAACCCCAACAGCTATCCATCAAGGGCAAAGATCAAATACGGGCCAAACAATGGCAGAGAAGTGGCCAAAGTAGGCCGGGTGTGTCGCACCTCCACCATGCAGGTCCGAAGCTGCACACGCACCTAACCAGATACACAGGCCTACGTGTCACGTCACACCCAGGAAAATCAATCTTGACGGATTTTGCCAATCACTTCGTAGTACTCTCCCTTGTAGTGAGATTATAGCCTGAAAACAAGTGTCGCGATGACGAAAAAAATAGTACCCTTTACTACAGAATTTCATCTAGGAGGCATCAACCCTAAACACCATGCGACAAGGTGTTCAGGGTTTACGACTCTAGAAGGACATATCTTCCGAGCGGGTTTTAGTATTTAGGCTACATTGCTTTCTTCGGACTGATCTAGATCTAAAAGTTCTAGTTGTTTGTTCACTGCCCATGGTTAAAAGAAGAGTTGACGGAAAGTTGCTGCCCTTAACAGAATTCTGTCACATTTTGTGGTCAATCTGACGACGCGCCTGGGTGAGCCCAGAATTCGGTTAGGGCTATGTGCGGCTCAGGCTCGACATCGCGCGACACACCCTGCCCTACTTTGGCCACTTCTCTGCTGTTGTTTGGCCCAAATTTGATCTTTGCCCATCGATCAACCTCATTCAGTACGCGCAGTTGATGACGTGTATCAAATGGGCAGGTCCACGCGGGTCCGATGCGGACCTGGCGGAATGTCTCAACGAAACGAGGTCGACGGTCGACGAACCGTCGACCACCGTCGACCTGCCCGGGGCAGAAAAAAACTAAAACCCTATCGGATGGCATGCCCTTCATAGAGGGTTTATTTATTTTTTTGCCCCGGGCAGCGAGCTCCCTGGGCGGACTCGCTTGTCCGTTGAGATATATCATGAGGACCAGCTTGAGAACCATCGCGTGAACCAGCGACGGACTGGACCGAGATGCGTAACTTTTAACAGCAATATAACGTTCGAATGACACTACAACGGTGCCATTGATTTGGTCGCCAGACCAGCCCGCGCCTGGTCCGTAACTGTAGCAGCTTACACCTTTGTTTGCGAAATTTCTCGCCATCCGTGATTGCCGCTCCTGACGGGATGGGAAGTTTTTACCCCGAAAAAAGTAATGAGGTAACTCGATTTCAACATGTCTGATTCTCGTCGTGACTGTTTCTATTCGCAAATATTGTACAGTCCGTGACGAGATGTATCATGTAGATCAGCTCGTGTCTGGTCCACGGCTGGTCCGCAAAGTATTTCCGTCGAACCAGAATTGCGGACCAGGAATGCACATTCTAGCAACGAACCGGGTCGGGGCGGACCAGTTTCATAAGACACCCTCTGAGGCATGTTGAACGACATGGGGTAAGGAGATGACTAAGAATGTATTCCAACGCACTGGTACCATCCCAAGTAAAGCCACGCGGTTCGAAATGTCGAAAATTGGATTGCAATGTTACCCCACGCGGTTTGGCTTCATAACGCCTTGTACATGACGGCAACTGAATTTGCGACGGTTTTGCACGTCCAGTTGCGACATCAATTTCCGTGCCATGGCGCACATTGATAGGGTCGCGGCCTTGACCGACAGTGTAACATGTCCCCCAACTGTAACGATTCGACGCTTTTGCTGCCCCACTTCGGAAACGTTCGTTCGTGCAACACAACCCCTCCTGAATTTGTGTTTGAAGAGTGCAATGTTAACATTTAATGCCAGGATGTTTTCGCGAGTGTTTTTTTACGATGCCCGTGCAGTCAGTGATGGTCGTTAGGGCCATATGACTTTGCGACACTGTTCGGTAGATCTCATTGGGCGTGAAACCTAACAACAACATTCTGCGTCAGGCGACGCAGACGACAACAGTGCGACGCCAGATGTCCGAAGTGGGGCCCAACCCCACATGGACACCATCCAGAACTCCAAACTTCTAGGGTGGGAGAAGTTGGGATGGTGTTCGTGCATTGGAATGTCAGAATATGTTGTTTGTGTAGCCTGCAGTGGGGTACTCAATAGTGAGTACAGCCCCTTAGGGTTTGCTATTTGTATCCTGCTGCTTGCTAGTTCAATCATTCCTTCTCAATTCTGTTCCTACACACATTCCTAGCTCGTACTTGGCTCCTCGTTACTAGTCCTACTGTGGCCTAGGCTACTAAGCCTAGGCCGTACTCCTACTACTTCTGACATGAAATACAATCTAAGGCCGTGGAACATTTGGAAACTGGCCGGTACTAACCAAGGCACAGATCGGAACTAGGTGTGGTGACAGTTTTTGCCGGGCTTCACGAGCTTCGCCATTAGTTCTGCGACGTCGTCATCGTGCGGAACCCAGTTGGAACACTTGGTCGTTTGTATTTCGTTTAGGCGGTGCAAACGGTGGAACATCGTGCACAAATTACTTCAACCGCAAATCCCATTATTCAGTGTAGTTGCAAGTGACGTGTGATGAGAAAGGATTTATTTGGGATTACATGGTGGGCTACCCTGGAGCAGTACATGATCACCGAGTATTTGTCAATGGCAAGTTATATGAGCGGCTAGAGAAATAAAAATCTTGGTGATTACCAGTTGTTGGGTGATGCAGCCCATCCTCTACGATCCTGCTATTTGACACCGCTACATGCCCCGAGCAAGAGATTGTTCAAACGATCGGAAAGGCTATTCAATGACGTTCAATCCGCCATACAGATGCAGGAGAGAGGTGCATTGGTGCCCTTGAATGCTGTTGGCGCTGGTTTGGGAGAAGGCACAAGTGCCGACCTGAGAGGGTTTGTGCTGGCACCGTCACACCATAGTCGTGAAGGATGATGCACACCACCTGCGAAAAAAAAAAAAAAAAAAACACAACAACAACAACAACAACAACAACAACAACAACAACAACAACAACAACAACAACAACAACAACAACAACAACAACAACAAGCAAACAAGCAAAACAAACAAACAAACAAACAAACAAACAAACAAACAAACAAACAAACAAACAACGGGAGGCAAAATGGAAGCATGAGCAACGAATTGTGGATGAGAGGAGGCATGACCCCATTCCAGTGGCCATCCTTGCAGCGAGGGATATCAAATAAAGTAGACCAGAGGCAAAAGTACTTCGGGAAGCATATTAGGAATGAATACATGAGGCGCCATCGCCTACCTGCTATTGGCTTGTAGAAATCATGGATGATGGGGGTGCCAACCGTCTCAGGGTGTGGAGGCAAGTGTGCACTCTCGGGAACGGCGAGGCCGACATAGACTACTAGAGCAACGGGGTATGTTGCAGCAGGTCAGTGCCATACCAACATTCCCAGATTCAATTCCTTGTTCGTCATCGCCTTAAAAATGTATGGCAGAGGAAAAAACAATCTGCAAAAAAAACAGCGGTGCACTATCTCCCGCATTAAGCTGGCTACCTTGTTGCGTCTCCTCCTCTTTGATACGTACGAGAATTGTCCATCCACCCTGGCATGCGCTCCCCCCCAGCATAGAGTGTTCCCCAACCCTGCTGTAGGTTATCCGCTAAATAAGGAACTTGTTTCCTATGTACACTTTTTGCGGGTTTGTTTGTTTTGACCATTTTTCCAATATGCATTTACATTTTGTTATATATGTTTACGACCTCTA